TCACACCCACATTCACACCCACCCCACACCCTCACCCGCACCCACACCCTGGTAGGTCTTCTGGCGGACCCTCTCTTAAGGTTTCGTAGATTTTAATAACCATTTTTTAAGCCTTTGGACGCATTCGGAAGCTTTTAGACATCTACGAAACCTTTTTGGAGGATTCGGTAAAGTTACCTTTTCTTTTACAGTGGTGGGTCCCCTTAAGAAACATGAATTATGATGAATTCAAATTATTAGCAATTATTTATTTTACCTAGTATTTATGTGTAGTAATTATTTTCTTTTATGTATGATATTTACTCACTGTTTTATAGTTCTCCAGTATTTCTCTTAATGGTATAATGAGTCACGATGAATAAGTCCGTTCTTCCTTTTTCTCCAATTGAAAAGAGTAACTATTTATATTGCCTTAACTTTTATATATTGTATTCATTCTGAGTTTGGTGTTTGTCCTGTTTAGTCGTATTATTTTACTGCATTGTGACTCTCTCTTTGTGATTGACTGGTAAGTGAATCTATATGAACGACTTTGGCTAGTGAGAAATTTTGGACCATTCTACTAAAGATCATAACAGACAGATAGAATTGACAAAATTTCCAACTGTTATAATGATTCATATAGCTATGGCTGTGCTGGTAACATGGATACTAGTCGAACTAAACCTTCTCCTCGAGCCTTAGAGGAACAATGCGCTGGATATAATAGAAGACTCTCCGTTAATTATTTAATTTCTCGAAAAGCCGGCGCTTGATTTAGGATACTTGCATCAGAATTCACGAATTTGTGGCTAAAAATCTTAACAGACTCAGATTAACACGAGCAGTCATCCTATTGCGCAAAGTTGAACATTGCGGAACCAGTTCCGACCCCGGAATCGTTTCCCGCGATTCCGGAATCGAATAGAAACTGAGTCCGCAACAACTCTTAGGAATTCCGTTTAATTCCGGAATTCCACAATTAAACAACGCCAGAATCGGTGAGAATTGGTAGCAATTCCGTCCAATTCCGGAATTGCAACTTGTGTTTTTATTCTATCAATCTTTATCGACGTAATGACCATCCGATTCCGCTTAGGAATTCCGGATTCGACCGAATCCGGAACCGGTGGGAATTGGTAGGAATTCCCGGGAATTCCATCCAATTCCGAAATTACAACTTGTCCTTTTATTCTATCAATCTTGAGGGTGTGGGTGTGAGTGATGTGAAGATATCCGCACTCACACTCACACCCACACCCACACACCCACCCACACCCACGCTCCAACTTCAAGGATCAATCTGTCTACAAACAGCTATTATAAGATTCTTATTCTAAGTGCTGCTCCACATGGTTCTCAATGAAATTGTTTCATGTTGAAACGTTCGTTCAAGGTTGTCAGAAAGACTTTCAAGAAAAGCTAAAATAATTCACTGAAAAAATCTACATGCTTTCAAAAATGATGTTTATTAGTTGCATATTATTTGTAGGAGGTGCTCTCTTCCATAAGTAAAATATCCATATTAAAGTGAAATTCTTTTTTCTTCGTCGTTGATTTTTCCGTTGTTGGTCGCAAAAGAAAAAACCTGAGTGTTTTGTTTTCTTTATCAATGTTTGAAAATAGGATTCGAAGACGATTTTTTTACAGGGAAGTTGTGCAAGACTTCAATCTATATAAGAGAACATTGAACGAAAATAAGAAGAAGAAAGTAAATTAAAATTGATACACACAAAGAAAACGAAAGAAATTCAATTACTTCTAATGTTTTTGCTATATGTTCTGTTAACGGCAAGGTGAGTGATCAATGTGTTTAAATAGAATTCAGCTAGAAAATTTCTTTAATTTTCTTTCGAAGTCTATGCCATGGTCAATTTCAAACTACAGGTAAGGTGTTACGTTGCTTTTTGAAGAAATAATTCTACTTTTTGATCCGTGTTCTGTCATAGCTCAATCAACAACAGCATCACCCAGTTTAGCCTTGGCGACATGTAATTCAACTCTTTGTAAATGGTCATCTATGTCCTGTTCTTCGAATCTCGATTGTGAATGTTTTTCATTGACCAATACTGTTAATGGAACTATCTCGGGCATATGTGCTGTTGCCGATCTTTCCTGCACTTCAATGATTCGATGTAATTCAGACAATATTACATGTTCAATTGCACAAACAATTTGTGTTAACAGTACACGATGTCAACAACCTGTTTGTTATCCAATGGCATTGGCTAGTATTCAAATATGTCCTCCAAGTGCGTAAGAATGCAATGATTACACAATAAGACAAAATGTTATCAAAAACATAACTTTTTTTGTCTTAGATCGAATAACAACTCTGATTCCAACAGTTACGAGTAAGACTAAATTTGTCCTTTTAGAACGAAGAACAAGGAGCAAATGCATCTTTTTACTTTTTCAGATGCAACAACGAGTTCAAACTTACCAACGTTGGCTACAAGTAAGAATTGCTTTACTATATTGTTTTAATGTACTTTACTTTCCATGAATCTAAATTTTTACATTTGTTGTTCTTCTTCAGCTCGTCCTACTAGTACAACAACAACTTCTAGAAGTAAGGAGTGTGGGTGTGGGACTAGCTCTCCACTTAAGCCACACCCACACCCACACCTACACCCACACCCACCCCACACCCACACCCACACCCTGAATGTAAGTGCAGTATATTTAGCTAAAAAGTCGATGTCTATATTAATTGTTTCATATTGAAAAATAGTTGAAAATGTGTTTTAATAGCGACCCTATATCCCTACTATTCAGTTTTGAATTTCAATATAAGCCATTATAATCTGAAACAGATTTGTGTCGACTGCATAACATGCAAAATCGCATATTCGACTGGATACTGATATTGTGTCGCATAGCTTTCTCTTAATTCAAATTAGATTCGAGTTGTTCTAGTATAGACTACAGTGAAAAAGTTCACAAAAGTATCAGCTTAATTTCACAAATTATAGTGGACACGCAAACTTTATTCTTCTTATCTGTTTCCTTAGTGTCAACAACAACATCAATTTCAAAACAAAATATACTTTGTTCATAAGCTATGTGGAGCCCAAATGGAATTACAGTTGCTGGTATCGGTAATGGTAGTTGGGGTTCTGCCATGAATGAGTTAAATTATCCACGAAACGTAGCTATTGATAGTCATCAAAATTTAATTATAGCGGATTCTGGGAATGGACGTATACAGAAGTATTTTACAAGCAATGGTACAATTATTACATTATTGAGCAATGTAGGAGTATATCACGTATTTATAGATCAGTATGACAATATTTACTATGATGACTACAGTAGTGTACAGAAATTGAGTAGCGGTGGCTTGATAGTAACAAAAACAACAGTAGCTGGAGATAATCGTACACAAGGTAATAAAACGAATCAACTTAATCAGCCGCAAGGTCTTTATATTGATCGATTTGGAACTGTATATGTATCAGATAGTCAGAATCATCGTGTAATGAAATGGTATGTAAATGCAAGTGAAGGTATTGTAGTTGCTGGTAGTAATGGAGATGGAAGTGCATCAAATCAACTCAGTTATCCTCATAGCATATTTGTTGATGAAGTAAATGAAGTTGGTGCAATTTATATTTGTGATTTCATGAATGCGAGAATACAGAAATGGTTACCAGGTGCACAATTAGGTATAACTGTCGCTGGTGGTAATGGAATAGGTGGTGGGTTAAATCAATTGTTTTATCCGGTATCAATTATACTAGATCCAATTACAAGAATCATGTATCTGGCAGACTATGGTAATAATCGTATAGTCAAATGGTTGCCAAATGCAAAACAAGGACAAATAATTGCCGGTGGGAATGGTCAAAGTGCACGAGCAAATGAATTTTTTCGTCCCCAGGGAATTAAATTTGATTCAAATTGGAATTTATTTGTAACAGACTGGGCTAACAACAGAATTCAAAAGTTTCTATTTAATGTATCATCTTGCTAAATTATTAGACATGTCCATTCCGGCAACGATTTGATCTTTATGACATAAACTATTCTATTTTAAATCATTCGTTTAATCATGAGCTTAATACTTTAATCAAGGCAATGTCTTATTTTAATGCATGTCATATCCAATAAAAACTATTCGATGCAACCATCGAAGTCTCATTTTCTGACTCAAAGCAAAAATGAACTCAGTTTTAAGAGCAAGAGAAAGAATCTGATACTCATGAAGTTTACCTTTGTGTGCAATTAAAATGATAGATTCGAGGACGACTATGTGTAGAGTGCGCGGTTGGCTGATGACTGCCAATGAATGAGGGTATTGGTCTTTTATTCAGACACACCGTCGCACAACCATACACAGTAACACCCAATCATCCCACGCACTCATCTTCACCCAGACACCCACACCTACCCACCCTCATGTTCACCCATATCCACACCCATACATTCTCATTCTTTTTTTTGCAATTTTACTTTTACTTGTTCACCTTCATTCACATGAATGCGTTCTAAAATGACGGTGACAATTTTGCAGTGTTAACCCTAGTAGTACCAAGCCTTTTTTAGCACTTTACTGGTAACAGACAGTTTTGTAACGTGATTATTTTATATTTGCATCAATATTTTAGTCTAAATGTGCTATTTTCATATTCGATTTGATAAAGAAATTATCAAAATGATGATCTGTCTTTATTTGGAACAATTAATATAAAAAATACATTTTACAGAATGCTCGTTACAAACAAATTCTGAACATTTATAACATTTATTTGAATTTTTTTTGTGTCTCTAGAAAAACGGCAATTGAACATCGTTTTTGTTTGGGTTGAATAGAGTTTTCATTTGCTTTTTGTGCTTCTTCCTCTATTACAAGATAGTCAACGACAGCTAACGCATTTTGAACATCTTTATGTAAATTTGTCGAGGTTCTTGAGCGAAAATCCAGAAGAGATGAGAGTAAACTTATTCCTAATTCTTCAAAGGTATATATGTATATCACAGTGACCTTAGCATAGAGTCAAGAACAGAAAGAAAAAAAAAATAACAAAATATTTCCACTGTATTTTCAAATTTTTAAGTATGGGTCAAAAATGACCCACTTGGTACTACT